GCGGGCGGGGCGGGGGGGGGGGAGGTGGCACAGCCCCGAGCTGGGACGCGGTGATCGGGGGCGGGGGGTGTTCCTGGTGCGTGGGGGAGAAGAGCAGGACTCGCCATCCGTACCGGGGAAGCCAACGTGTTGTGTCCTCGTTGGGGCTGAGCTGTTTGAACAGCAGCGGTGCCAGTGGTACAGGAGAGCCCGGGTTTTCTGGGTCTTCCTTGTTGCTCTGGGGATGAACGGGGAAAGCGTTTTGGGGGCGTATGGGGGGATCTTGTATTGTTTGAGGGCTGCTGGGGCTCCTGGGGCGGGCGCAGGCTTGAGCCCCAGCTCTGCCCTCCCTGCAACCCCTCTCCCTTCCCTTGCAGGGAGCGTTTCCCTGCTCGCTCTCCGGAGCCGTCTCCTTGGAATCGTATTCGGGTGTCTGCCAGTCCCCGTTTCTGGATAACAGGTACGCAGGCGGCCGGGGGAGCTGGGGCTGGCCTCCTTGGAGCGAGTGAACCCTGGGGTGTTGCGGGACGCCCTCTTTCCTCACGCCCTGCTGGTCCATGACGCTCTCTCCCCCACGCAGGGAGCGGAGCGGCTTCTTCAGCCCAGACCACTGCGAGCCCGAGAGCCCCTGGGCCAGCAGCTCGGCCGCCACCACCCCCTCGACGCCCACGACGCCCACGACGGAGGGCGAGGGCGACGGGCTGTCCTACAACCAGCGCAGCCTGCAGCGCTGGGAGAAGGACGAGGAGCTGGGCGAGCTCTCCACCATCTCGCCCGTCCTCTACGCCAACATGAACTTCCCCAACCTCAAGCAGGATTATCCAGGTAGGGCTCTGGGGGGGCTGCGGCCGCCCCGTTCGGGGTGAGGGCAGGGGGGAGCTGGGTGCAGCGTTAACGCGCCTGGTCCCTGTTCGGAGGGCAGATCCCGTCCGCTCCGGCACAGGGCTTGGCTGCGGGACTGAAGTGCTCCTTGCAGCGATGGCGGCGGGGGTCTTGGCGCCAGCTCCTGGGCACGGGGCCGTCCCCACACGTGAAGGGGGTCGTCACCCGCCGAGGGCCCCGGTGGGCTCGTCAGGCACGGGCTAACGTCGCTTTTCTCTTCTTCGTCTGCTCCTACCGGACTCCCAGACTGGTCGAGCCGTTGCAAACAGATCATGAAGCTCTGGAGGAAGGTCCCCGCCACAGACAAAGCCCCCTATTTGGTGAGTGCCGGGGCGTCGCTGGGGTGGGGGGCCTGGGCGCCGGGGGCTGCGAGTCAGCTGGCTTCGTGTTTTTGTTAGCAAAAGGCCAAAGATAACCGGGCAGCTCATCGCATCAACAAGGTGCAGAAGGTACGTGCTGGAGCGGGGAGGTGCCCGGCGGCCCTGGCCCAGCCCTGGGGGACGTGGCGTGCCCACCCCCTGCCCTCTTGGCCCCTTCCCCAGCCCGCTGGCAGGGCGGGCGTGGGTCCCCGCAGCCCTGACGGCCGGGGTCTATCTGCAGCAGGCCGA